ATATATATATATAATTTTTATCTATTATCAAACTTATACGTTTCTTCTGAATGAAACTCACTATACATTCGATTGCTGATATCTGTTTTAGTTAGCCCGATATCATTCCGGGTGTAAATATATTGGTCTATGAAGAAATCATTTTATGCAGATAAACATTGGACATTGGAATGCACAATAGGAACAACATGACCCTTCAACCGCGCGGTAACACTATAAATGCTAAGAAATATGATAAGCACTCGTATTGATATCTTGAAGCATGAAAAAATCTGGCATAACCGCCAGAGTACTGACGATTTCTGGTTTCTACGAAAAATAGAGACAACGTTCTTTTAAGCACATATCATGAGACGATATTGTTGCAAAACTCGAATCAAATTGAGATAGTGTTTCTTTAGAAATCTCTGTTAAACTTTTCTTAGGTAGCTTTTATTATTTATTATACTTGTTATTCATTATCGTTTAATTACCGATCGTAATTGCAAATCGTTACGTAAGTTCTTGAATATGGATAATTTTGATTATCATTTACCTAAAAAAGAAAAAAAAACGAAGTCAAAGACATATATAAAAGCAAAAGGAAACATGCCAAGGTAACGAAGCAAGAACTCGCTTTGCGATGTGTTAAGTGCAAATAAACAACCGAGTGCCGTCTTTGTAATTTTGGAGACCCGGAGCATTATTTGAAACTCCTACTACATTAATAATCACTTCCGCCCTGGAATATTTGTTAATCAATTTATAATTTTTTATATCGAGGAAAAGAATATAAATTAATAAAATATTTCGAAAAGAAAAAAGATTCAATCTATCTATACGTTTAAATTAATTAAACACGAATATATAACAGGAAAGATATGACTTTAAACTTTTTAAATATAATATATGTAGTAAAATGATATAATAAAAATACAGACATATTTAACGAAACATCTTTTCACACCATTTATAATAAAGCTTTTGAAATCGAACACTCACGACATGTGCTCTGTGCGTTATGTAAGAGACCCTCTTTATGAATAGCACTTTATCGCGTAAAATAATAATAATAATATATAAGCGGCAAACCTTGTGTTTGATGCGTCATCAGAATAATGAAAGATGGGCACATTCCATTTATATATATCGGTTCAATTCAGATCTTTCATAATCATGATCGGAAACAACCGTCGAAAAATTGCGTATGTTCGGCGAACTTCGGTTCGGTGACGTCACGTTGAAATGAGCGCGAAAAGTTGAGTTATATATACTTGACGTTCGCGATTTAATCGATTACTAATCAAGTTCCCTTAAATCGCTAAATTATAATTTTCTACAAAATAACGCGAATTGATC